TATTTATAGAGCACTTTCAAACAGCCATCGCTGCATACAAAATGCTGTACATGGAGCAACTAACATACTGCATACAACAGTAAAGCAACAAATCAGTAACAAAGACGGCGGAAAGCACCGAACAGTAAAACCAAGAACAAATCTGAGTCATGCTGAGTCAAATGCCAAAGAATACAAGTGAGTTTTGAGGCGGGTTTTAAAGATGGGCAGCTAAGAGGCTAGCCAAATGTTCAGTGGGAGGTCATTCCCTTTCCAAAGACGTTTTTTACTTATTTTGCTAGCTCCAGGCTTTCATTTTAGCGGTAAACTGTCACGTGACCGAGAAGCGCGCCTTGACCTGACACATTGTAGACGGATGTAACAGAGAATCCGGTAATTTTTCAAAATACAACATTTTTTGGGAACGCGAAATAAATAAAACGGAAGTTTTATTTTTTGCTCCGAGATGAATTTCTTCTTTCGGAAACAAGCAAAGAAAATGATTAAAAATTGAACCTTAAATGTGCGCTGTCTGTAAGGTATCGGCTATGGGGGGCAAGTGATCCAGTTCTACAGCAGCATGACCTACACGATTATTATGGCATCGACTCTTTTCTACCTGGCGTTCTCCTTTATCTCTCCACTGCCCTGGAGCACCTGCGACAACTACTGGAACACAGGTGAGGTCCAGCACACAATGCATCATGTCCCTTTTTGGTCAAGAAACTCTGACCTGTCCTATTATCTTGTCATGAGACAAGACTGAATAAATGGCATTTTGCTACAAAGTTAAGTTGTCATCTTACAACTTTGATTAAGGCGTAGTCATTCCTGTCAAGTGTCAAGTCAAACTGAGCCAAATTTATGTATACAGCTCTCAATTACGGAAGCGTCTCAAAGACAAAAGCATGCATTGACAAATGAACCACCTGGACTAAATGCCATTTGCATTTGTGGGAATAGGAACTGGGACGGCCCACAAATGTCGAAAGTCTGCGTGTAATTGACGGCTATTGAAATGCATATGGAATAGATATGGCCGCACTGCTCACAACCGAATGCTGCAAACACAGGAATGATGCAAACAAAACGACTGCGAAACAAAAACACTGCAAGGAATGGTGCAAACGGCCAAACGTAATCTCATAAAACAACAGCAAAAAAAAAAAAAAAGCTTCAAGAAATAAATGCTGCAATCGCAAAACGTAATTAGAAGCAAACTTACAAACTACAAAACAAATTCAAAAGAGAAACGCTGCAAATAGTAAAAACACACAAAGCTCAAAACAACTGCCTAGGAAGGCGACATTTACAGGCATGTCTTAACCCACCACTCCCTGTCCCCATCTCACCCACACACACGCATAGACACACCCCCATAATTATTATACAATGATGATTATGATGATGACCATTCGTAACGACAATCACACCCAGAAACACTTTCATCCCAGTGACTATAGTTTAGTTATTTGTATTAATATTGTGTTTAAGGCAGCACGATGGTCGACTGGTTAGCCTCACATTGCTGAGGTCATGGGTTTGATTCCCAGCCCTGGCCTTCCTGTGTGGCGTTTGCATGCTCTCCCCATGCCTACATGGGTTTTTGGTTTCCTCCCACATTCCAAAAACATGCATGGTAGGTTGATTAATGACTTTATATTGTCCCGAGGTGTAATTGTGAGTGCAAATGGTTGTTTGTCTACAGCACTGGTGTCAAAGTCAAGGCACGGGGGCCAGATCTGGCCCGCCACATCATTTTATGTGGCCCGCGAAAGCAAATCAAGCATGTCAAGTTCCATGATGCTTGCCAAAGTCTGAGCCAAAATTTCAAATTGTCATACGTAATCCGCAGTCATTTTTCTTGACTTCTGATTTTAAAAGTAGTTATCCATCAATTTGTTGTGCGCTGTGTATGTCATATGTGGAGGCGATTAAACATTTATATGGTTTCCCAAAATTCATAATGGCCCTCCAAGGGAAACTGTAAATACTGTACAATGTGGGCCGCGACAAAAATTAGTTTGACACCCGTGGTCTACAGTATGTGTGCTCTGCGATTGGCTGCCAACCAGTTCAGGGTGTATCCACTTGTGGCACTGAGAGCTCAAATAAACCATGCTGTCTCTCTGTCCGCATGGAAATTGTAATCCTGCAAAATAATCTCCATTTTTAATGAATGTACCCATAATCTGATGATGTTCTTTTTTTCTGGAATTTTTCTGGAACTGTAATGGGACACAGTTACATTGTTTGTTGTAACCTGAATATGTAATAAGTATCATGAATACATAACGCCGGTACATGTGTTTCATGCCTCTGAGTGAATACCTGTCATTCTTTTAGATGATTGTGTTGACATTACAAGGAATCTCACCAACCACACCAAGGGAAGCTCAGCAGCAACGGAGTTCTGGGAGTAAGGAAGACAATACATTAATATGGCATCTTTAAAACATTCTACGTGACATAAAATATGCTGTTTTGTTTTTTTTAACCCGTCCAGACGTCGACTGTTGAATATCTCATCGGGCATTGAGGAGATTGGCAGTATCAGGTGGGAGATGCTTTTGTGCCTCGTGGCTGTCTGGGTCATTTGTTACTTCTGCATCTGGAAAGGCATCAAATCAACTGGAAAGGTGAAGTCCATCAAGGGGCACCAAATACAAATTCATGTAAATGCCGAAGCAGTCTTGTGACCCTCCTCTTGTCCAGGTGGTGTACATCACTGCCACATTCCCTTATGTGATGCTCTTCATCCTTTTGATCCGAGGAGTCTCTCTTCCGGGAGCCAGACAAGGAGTCGAGTTCTACCTTCTGCCAGATCCGTCGCGACTCACAGACCCTCAAGTAGGACTGTTAGGTTACATGCGTTGTGATAAAAGAAAAATGCACTCTATGGGTGACTTTTTATACAGGTGTGGCTGGATGCCGGCTCCCAGATCTTCTTCTCGTACAGCCTTGGTGCAGGCACTCTGACTGTACTGGGCAGCTACAACACCAGGAGAAACAATTGCTACAAGTTAGTGTCACAATGAAGCAAGAAAACTACACTCACCACCTAAAAGATTAGATACACTTGGACTTGCCAATGGGATCCAGTATAGAAACCAAATAACATGAACAGCAATCTGTTTTTTTGAAAAGTATCAATTTAACAATACAGTGTTTGTATTTTATTTTGATTTGATCGCAAATGTTTAAGATAAGATAAGATAAGAAAACATTTATTTGTCTCATAATGGAGAAATTCACAATTTACAGCAGCAGAATTATGGAAGGGAGAAGTAGAAGAACAAAAAGTATATAAATAATTAAAAATAATGTTTTTAATTTTATATATATACATATACTACACTATTAAAGAATACACTTGCCCATGCCTCAAAAACCCTAAAATATTTAAAGTAAAAAAAAAAAAAAGTGGTGATTTTCTGTTGATAAGAATTGGCAACATGGCTGCTTCCTCATAGATAAAAACGGGTGGATTTTGCTGGCCAATCCATACTCCACAAATGCAATATTAATCAGAATACAGTGTTTAGACTAATGGGGGCGCATCGAACATATTGTAAAGAACATTTTTGATTTGAGCTCCCCTTTAATGGTTTCAATCCGAGTGGTTCAGAAATAAGTGAGTTTTTTTTTTTTTTTGTGTTGCAGGGACTGCTTCTGGCTGTGTTTGCTGAACAGTTTGACCAGTGTGGTAGCTGGCTTTGCTGTCTTCTCGGTCCTGGGATTCATGGCTCACAAACAAGGCGTTCCTGTCGCAGAGGTGGCTGAGTCAGGTAAATTTGGAATCTACTTTAGTCTCACTCTTTGAAAAGGAACAAACATTGTAAGAAAAAACAGTTAAAACCATTTACCCCACTGCAGCAACGTCATATCAGTGATGCGCCTTGTACAAATTGCATTTGTTTTGTGTTGGTGTCTGTGTCTTTTGTAAAACCCGCAGTATTGCCATCACTTACGTTTTGAATTTTGCCGGTGTGTATGTTCCTTCTGACTTGGCCCTCCTCAATGCATGCAAGGTTGTTGTGAAACTCCTCTTAGCCATCATGTAGTTCAGTGTTTCCCAATCAAGGGCATGCAAGCACATTGCAGGGGCTACATGGAAACATTCAATATTTTACTTGGAAGATGATGAGTGAATATTCTCGGTCATTTCATAATCCCGTCAATTAAATGTATGTGTGCGCACACAACTTATTTCCCTGGGGAGACAAGTGTTTTGTTCCTCATGATTAAAGTTTAAAAGCCTGTTTAAAGGGGCCTTATTCAAATGAGTTCAGTTTTTCCTCATTAGTCTTTATTTTGATTTGATATTTGAAAATGTATGTTAAATATTAATATTGAAAGCGATATCTTATATATTATTGGCCCCAGCTCGGTTGTACATTGAGGTGAAAACAACGAGTGGCTAGTAAATCTGAGAAATGTGATAGGGTAACTGTTGAGAATGTTGCCCAGACTTTTGTCCTTTTCATATACCGTAATTTGAATGTTAAGTATTGACAGTGCATGTGGATGTCTTTTCTAGGTCCGGGCTTGGCGTTCGTTGCATACCCACAGGCGGTGGCCATGATGCCGTTGCCTAACCTGTGGTCTATCTGTTTCTTCGTCATGCTCATTCTCCTGGTCCTGGACACACAGGTTTGACCACTGATTCACAATTAGTGTTCTGTGAGCGCTCATCTCTGTGCCCAGCAAAATTATCCAATGTCACTAAATTGGTGCAAAAATTTATTTTTTATAAAAATGATGTGATCCATAATAGTTCCTAATTGTTTTCTGACAAATCAGTTGTTCAAAAGCATGTGATACAATATCGTGGACAAGAAAATGTATGTCTTTAAAAAAAATTGCTTTTTTTTCTTCATGCCTAAAGAGTCACAAAAACACTTGAAAAAATCCTGATGCAGGTTTCAGTGAGATTATGATTGTATTCGATATGGTGCGACTGACTAAAAGGGTATGATGAGTTTCTCATTACTTTCAAATGTGAATGAACTTAAAGTGAAGCAATTCAGTTTGCTTCGATGAACTCACAATTTTTAAATTAAAATTTCCCCATTCAAATCATTTGTTTGTTACAAAAAGGATATGTACCCCCCCAAAAAATCTGCCATTAGCCGACTGCCAAATTCCATATCTGTGTGGGTTCATTATACCGGTATATTCTTTTTTGTGACCAATTTGTTTGGTCGTGAGCTGTGGGCTTTTGTCATTTATAACCTGTCCGTTGTCTCAAAGAAGGTTGGGAAACATTGACTTTGACATCATTCTTCATGTTTCTTTTCGGAACTGATCTTGTTGCTCTGCACTCTCTCCAGTTTGTCGGCATTGAGGAGGTGATGACGTCCTTTACAGATGTATTCCCCACAGTGATGCGTCGGGCAGGCAGGCATGAATGTTTCCTCCTGCTCTTCTGCCTCATATGTTTCCTCTTGCAGATCGACATGACCACGATGGTGGGAATTTGGCTCGAAACTCACTATGAATCCTACTGTAGTGTCAATAAGTAGGCTATGTCAAAATCCATAAGCTTGGTGGTCGATTATCACCACATGATCAAATGTAGAGATGCTCACAAAACTGAATTCACCTCTCCCAGTTTTGTTCATATTTTGTTGTATCGTATCACTGGACGACAATAACAGAACAACACTTCTTGTACCTACTACGTATTTAGTGTACAGCTTGATTAGCTGACCCTTAAAATAGCTTAACACTCAACCATACTTTTCAAAATGAGAATAGAAATAAATAAATGAGTACAAGTAATTTTCCTGGATTTTGTCCTCAGGGAGGGATGTACATCTTCCAGATTTTCGACTACTATGCTTGCAATGGAGCCTGCCTTCTCTTTCTTTGTGTGTTTAAAAGCTTGGCAGTAGGCTGGATATTTGGTAGGTTGATGGGTCATGTGTTGGTCATTTATGACTTATTAGCAGAATGAATTACAGATCTGGTCACCCTTCGTCAATGTCTGATGTGTGAGTCAATGTAGTTTGTTGATACCAGAAACCAATAGTATCCAGCAGACTCGGAGGAGGTAGCTTCAGGCAATGGTAGACATACGCCGGAAGTGGCTGTGGTAAGTTTAGGCAAATTTGATTTTCAAAATAAAGTGACAAAGTGGCTGTGGTAAGTTTAGGCAAATTTGATTTTCAAGTCCCGGAAAACGAAAGTGAAATGTTCATTAATTGTAATGGGGAATTTAAATTATTTTATTTGAATAATAATCTGTCTTTAAAAATTAAGTTAAGATTATTAATTTTTTTATCAAACTAATTTGAGATATAATTACTTTTACTTATTTGATGACCTACTTTGCAATACAACTAAAATTAGGTTAGGGTTAGGGTTAGGTTTCGCTGTTAAATTATCTTACAATTACAGGGCCTTTTAAACTTTTTAAGATCCACATGCGACTTACTTTGGACTCGGGCATCATCCTTCTAACGTCATATCCGGCGCAACGTTACTTGCCCAAACATACCGGTACCTATCCCTGAATCGGCCTCCTCCGGGTCTGCAGCTGGACCAAACATACCTTTCCCTGAATCGGCCACCTCCGGGTCTGCAGCTGGACCCTTCTCCCAGAAACAGCAACAGCAGTGAGCATTGAGTATTGGCCCTCTGCTGGTCAAAAATGATGTTCTCCCAGAAACAGTAACAGCATTGAGTATTGGCCCTCTGCTGGTCAAAAATGATCACTACCAAAAACTAGAATGGACGTTTTTTTTTTTTTTTTTTTTAAATTTCTAGTGGCACGACAAATCTTACAGTAGTTCTAATACGGGCTCATTTTTATGTACTGTTGTACATACTTCTAACCGAAGGCGCAGAACGGCTGTGTGGCATCATAGAGGAGATGACGGGCGACCGTCCCAACCCGTTCTTCAAAATCTGCTGGCGCTACATTAGCCCCTTGGTTTCGCTGGTGAGTGGGACTTCTTGTTGAGTTTTGAGTTGTACTGTAATATGTGAGTCGACCACCATATTTGATTGTATTTGTAAACTTGTTTATTCCACCATTAAAATTTACAATAAAATAAATTAATTTTGATGGAAAAACATACATTTAAATGTGATTAGAATTAATAAATACATTCATTTTAATTAACCAATTCGGAAGGGGGTGTGGGTGGGGGCTGAATACCACAAATATTTCTTTTAACCTTAAAATGAATAGAATATTTGTTGACTAATCCATGACACAAAAAAAGGTGCATTTGCCATTTTCATATGTAATTTGGCAGTCAAGCACTCTATTTTATTTTTTAATTTCAATATCCATTCAACTCTTGTTGGTAGAAGTGCTTTCTTCCAATTTACAGTTAAAGTCTTTCTTGCAGTCGTCAGAAGAACACTTGGTTACTGACATTCATCTTGTCTTCTTGTACACACAAATGATTTCGTTTTCTTTTATGGAGGATATATCTGGTATCCATTCATTACATTTTCCAGAGACAGAACTTTGAACATATCCATTGAGTCTCACTGTACACTTTAAGGTCCTGATAGAATAATGTGATCCAATTTACAAACTTGAATCCGAAACGCATGCCCCTCAACATCCATGTCAAATACCCCCACCCCACTCTGTCTAAGGTTTTCTCAGCGCCTAGCCCTAGGCTGAGAAGCATCGAAGATTGCTTTTTTGATACGGCTAATGAGTGTAAATTTGGTGTTGTCCTGATGTTATTAGTTCCTTGGCGTCCCTTTATAAATCCAGTTTTATCAGTTGCACAAGTTTTTTTTTTTAAATACATTTCTGTCACTGGTTAATATTTTTTTTTTGTCCAGGGCACTTTTATATATTATTTAATTGGGTACCAGCCCCTAACATTCAACCGCTCGTACGTATACCCTACCTGGGCCTATGTGTTGGGCTGGATGATGGCTCTGTCCTCCATCCTGCTGGTGCCAATCTGGGCGCTGTACAAGCTGAGCACTGCCAAGGGAACCCTCAGTCAGGTGGGCCAAGTCCACCACTTACATTGCAGAGTGAAAGAACAACCATGATTTCCTTGATTATTGCTTCAATAATTGCTTCAATAGCTGTGTATATGATTTTGACATATCTCATAAAAACATTGTCATTTGTATCCATTTGGTAGCGTCTCCATGGTCTGTGCTGGCCCAAGCCACCTGAGGGCTCGCTGGCACGAAACACAGAGACCATGCTGCAACACACTACTGAGGAGGATCAAGAATGATTCATTAAAAAAAAAACAACTACAACAACAACAACAACACAGATGAACTTATCCCAAACTGCCCAATAGAAATAATGTACATCATTTTACTGAGGAGGATCAAGAATGATTCATTAAAAAAACAACTACAACAACAACAACAACAACACAGATGAACTGATCCCAAACTGCCCAATAGAAATAATGTACATCATTTGAAAACCACAAAGTACCTCATGCCATTGTTTTTAACATGGTTTGCTAATCTTCTGAGATCATTTTTTATTGCTCATCAAGTAGGGTCCCATTGTCCGAGCAATGGGTGTGTTTTCTCTCAGCAAATACTGTACATCTTGTGAGTGCCTTGTTTTATTTAATGTAAAATTCACAGCTCTGGGAAAAACAAAACAAAATACTGAACCTTGTTTGTTTTTGTGGGACCATTTTTCTTTCTCTGCAAGTGTTTTTTGTTAAAACATTTTGTTCAGGATATACCCTGCTTCTCCTGCCTCCCTCCTTTTTTTGGGGTTCACTACCATCACGGTTACATGACACCCCTCCCCGTCTTCTCCGGTGTGTACGAATGAAGTTGCTGCGTCACCAGGAACTCTTGTGGTCAAACGCGAGCGAATAAAGCGAGGTGGAACGCTTGCAACGGATTTGGTGTGCAGGTACCATTCGTCAAAATCTCCAGACTTTACCAGAGCATTCAAAGTCGGTGCTTATCAAATTTGAGTTGTAAACAATTACTTTGCGCAGTCCACGATATCTCAGTAATTATCACCTATTTAGACTCCCATTTCTTTCTCATACATCCCTTTTATTTTCCTCCATTCATTTAGCTGTAGTATAGAATATTTCGGTGTACCTTTTATGTCCCAATATATACAGTATGAAAATATGATCCATATAAAGAACTTCATTTTATCTGTGTGTACTTGATTCAAAATTATGTTTGTGTAAGTTGAGGGTTCGTAGTTTTTGAATGGATGGCTCTACGTTAAGAATGGGCAAAGGGAGAGATGGACTTAGTTTGAATGCAGCTTTTATTTCCCAACGCCTGCTCCCCGGTACGAACGAGAACACACCTTCTTCTGGCTACTCAAAACTCTCTGCTTTTCTTCAGCCAATCAGACGCTCCCAACATAAACATGTTTAAGAAATTATTAAAGAGAATGTAATTTAGGTAACCTTAACATGAAAGACTATACTGTAATTCTCAAACATAAAATGATAATAATTAACAATTAAACAAAAGCTTACATTTGTGAAAAACCCTTTACATTTTTTTTGGAACGAAAAAAAAACAGATGTGGTGCCCCTACTCTCGGGATGGATAGCCTGTGTTAGCGACCCACGGGCTCATTCACTGGCAGACTGGCAGAATTGTACTTTGTCTCATTTTATGTCTTTAACTTCGTTTCGAGCTGCTGCCCGTCTTGGCCAGGTCTCTCTTGAAAATAGGTGCATTCCTGGGGCCGTATCTGGTATTTGTGGTGAAATGCGGCGTCCCGCTTTTCCTTTTGGAGACCGCTATGCGCCAGCATACTCAAGAGGGCGCCATCACCTGCTGGAGGAAGCTGTGCCCCCTGGCTGAAGGTGTGCAACACTCTTGTCACGTACAAGTCTGCCATTCTCGAACACAAAGAATGAAGGAACCGATTCTTTCCAAAAAGGATCCACTTGTAAATTTTTGTGTAACGTGGATGAATGATTATTTGAATTAGTGTTTGCTGCTGTCCCAAACTCAAAGACACATTTCTCTTCACTGAAACGAATAAAGAGAATCCTTGCATCTGGAAAGTGTGATGTGTGTACAGGTATTGGTTATGGAGGAGAGCTGATTCTGATGTACAGCTGTATGACCTACATTATTAATCTGGCCTTTACCTCTTGGCCTCCCTCAACTCTCTGCTGCCCTAGAGTAACTGCAACACAGGAACACAGGTGAGGTCTCTCTCTCTCTCTCTCTCTCTCTCTCTCTCTCTCTCTCTCTCTCTCTCTCTCTCTCTCTCTCTCTCTCTCTCAAGACACATTTCTCTTCACTGAAACGAATAAAGACAATCCTTACATCTGGAAAGTGTGACGTGTGTACAGATATTTGTTATGGAGGAGAGCTGATTCTGATGTACAGCTGTATGTATCACATCAATTGACAATCATATTCTCTTCTTTCCATAGAGCCAAGACGTGGCCTTTCCCTTAAAAAAAGCAATGAAGATTTGTCAAAATGGTCACTAAAACTACTAATTGTGACAAAACTGTCAGAGTGATGTGTACTACTTAATTTGAGCTGAATGACTTCATTCTTGGGCCACTGTTTAAATGCAAAGTTTATCCCCTTTTGCCTCTTGAATAATTTTCATGCGCCTCAACATGCAGCACTTGTAAAACCAACTCAGAAAGATCCCAGTGTTTGTCATATAGCCTTTGAACGATGCTAAATACCTTTTCTTGAAGCTATTTATTCAATCAAATGTCACAACGCATTTAATTATGAACTTCACATCATTTGACAATCGTATTCTGTCGGAGTGATGTGGACTACTTAATTTGAGCTGAATGACTTCATTCTTGGGCCACTGTTTAAATGCAAGTTTATCCCCTTTTGCCTCTTGAATAATTTTCATGCGCCTCAACATGCAGCACTTGTAAAACCAACTCAGAAAGATCCCAGTGTTTGTCATATAGCCTTTGAACGATGCTAAATACCTTTTCTTGAAGCTATTTATTCAATCAAATGTCACAACGCATTTAATTATGAACTTGCTAATAAATTAATACTAAAATAAAAACCCCTTAAGATAACTTGTGACTGGGAGATGCAGGTCACAGATGTAACATAAAAAAAGGGTTCTTGCATTTTGTAACATTTTGGAAGAGGACCCCTCAAAACACAACTTATTTATTGTCGCTGAACACCCAGTGTTTGTCATCTAGCCTTTGAATGATGATAAATACCCTTTCTTAAAGCTATTTATTCAGTCAAATGTCACAATGCATTTAATTATGAACTTGCAAATAAATTAATAGTAAAATAAATACCCCTAAGATAACTTGTGACTGGGAGGTGCAGGTCACAGATGTACCGGTACATAAAAAAAGGGTTCTTGCAGTTTGTAACATTTTGGAAGAGGGCCCCTCAAAACACAACTTATTTATTGTCGCTGAACAAAATGAAGGACTCTTCATCTGTAGCGTGTGTGGACCAGTAATTGGTGACTTTATTTTCATGAATGAGTTGTGTGTCATGCATCTCCTGATAAGGTAACAAAAGCTTCAAGAGCAGCCTCTGAGGAGGAAAGTGGGATTGGGGTGGAGATCCAGTCCACCAAACAACATTCCCCAGACCTCTGGTTCTGGTGTTCTTGATCAAGTCATTGATCCCCGTGCTCCTCCCTGGATGCTTAAGCAGCCCCTGCTGCACAACTGTTAGGGATGTTTGCACTCTAGTAATACGAAGGAAGACAAACTGACTGTAAAATACGATTCTTCTTCTTGATCAAGACTGTGGTCAGCCCTGAATCCAAACATAATTAATTCTTGTTTGATTAAGTTTACCCTGTTTTGACAAAATCCTTTGAAGTGTGTGCATAATTCTTATTTCTCTCTCTCACACACACACACACACACACACACACACACAAACACACCTTTGTTTCAAATATTTACCTGCTTTGCCACACGGAAGAGGTCAGGTTGGGTAGAGAATTATATAGAGTGTTTTGGTGTACCTGTCACCATTTCACTACTGCAGGAGGAAAAGTTGCAACGTGAAGCGAGGTATGTAGCGTTGGAATGTGTTAATTTGTAGTTTGATATATTATGGCCCGCGATGTGGAAAATTCTTATTTCTCACACACACACACACACACACACACACACGCCTTTGCTTAAAATATTCGCCTGTTTTGCCAAACGGAACAGATCAGGTTGGGTAGAGGAGTATATAGTGTTTTAGTGTAGCTGTCACTATTTCACTACTGCAGGAGGAAAAGTTGCAACGTGAAGCGAGGTATGTAGCGTTGGAATGTGTTAATTTGTAGGGGCCTGGGCAATGTGTGGAGATTTCCGTACTTGTGCTACAAAAACGGCGGCGGTAAGCAAATGTGGCACTCGGCACTTCTTCCAAAAGTTGGACTTATCACAGCAGTATGTGTAACATCCAGGTGCATTCCTGGTGCCGTATCTGGTATTTGCGGTGTTGTGTGGCGTCCCGCTCTTCCTTTTGGAGACCGCCATCGGCCAGCATACCCAAGAGGGCGGCATCACTTGCTGGAGGAAGTTGTGCCCCCTGGCTGAAGGTGTGCAACACTCTGTCATAAAATGTGTGTGTTTAAAAGAAAATAGTAAGATTATGAACAACCATCGGGTTGTGACTTCAAGCTCAAACGCGATTTGGTTCTGCGCCAGGACAATGATCTAAAACGACACCAGCAAGTCATTGTCAGAATGGCATAAAAAAAAGTTTGGGAATGACCTAGTCAAAGTCCAAACTTGAATGTGATTAAAATGCTCTAGCATAACCTTATAACAGCTATTAATGCTCCAAAGCCCACAAGGGTTGGTGAATGAAAACAATTCTTAAAATAAAGAGTGGGACAAAATATCTCAACAGAGATGTGAATGACTCATGACCACCTACAGAAAACGCTTCATTTCAATTGTTGCTGCTGATGGACTTTTTCATGGCACTCTAGTTACACTAAGGAGATGATACAAGTTAATACTGTTAAATGTCAAATTCCCATTACAATACTTTGACCTGAGAAGACTCCTCTCGCCCTCGTGATATCACAGGATTTAATGAAAACGTTCAAAGAGAGGACTTACTCCAGAAGCGTATTGCTGCCATAGGACAAAACAACAAAACAAAACACAATACTTCTCATGTGAAAACTTGATACTTATGTTTTAACGTGAACATTATCAAATAAAAACATGATCATTATCATGTACAACTTTGAAAATGATCATGTAAAAATGTGATACTTATCACATATGAACTTTTCAATGGCAGGCAATGTAAAAATACACTTCAATGTTCCTGCTCCATGCATATGAAGAAATCTTGTACACCGCGATTTTGTAAAAAGCTCAGCAACTCCAGGTTTAGTGCAACGACATTCGGAAGCACCTGCCTCTGCGTCCTGCTGCAGGATGGGACCAAGGTCGCAACAGAAGTTGGGAAGTCCTCAGCGAGGCCAACTTTGTCACATTTTGTACTTTTCATGTTTTTACATGATATGTTTCACATTTTTATATGATCTTTTTTACGTTTTTACATAATTTGCATGTTATACGTGAAAATTGTCACGCTTTCACATGATAACTTTCGTGGGTTTTTTTTCCCCCTGGTGTGGCAGCCATATGCTTCCGTAATTTCCTTTACATGTCTTGTAGTTAAAATACTCCCTCTGAACTGATGAATGACTCCGTTTAGTTGCTCATTGTGCGACTTTAATGTATGTCTTGTGTGGGGTTTAAAGGAAGCTTGGATTTACATTGAACGTTTAGAAAATGTGGAGGAAAAAACGCCGGAATGTACTTGAGGAGAGAGGACGCTGGAGCAGCAAGGTGGAATTTCTTCTGGCTGTTGCCGGGAACATTGTGGGCCTGGGCAATGTGTGGAGATTTCCGTACTTGTGCTACAAAAACGGCGGCGGTAAGCAAATGTGGCACTCGGCACTTCTTACAAAAGTTGTACATGTCACAGAACTATGTGTAACATCCAGGCGCCTTCCTGGTGCCATATCTGGTATTTGCGGTGTTGTGTGGCGTCCCGCTCTTCCTTTTGGAGACCACCATGGGCCAGGCCAGCATACCCAAGAGGGCGGCATCACTTGCTGGAGGAAGTTGTGCCCCCTGGCTGAAGGTGTGCAACACTCTGTCATGTACAAGTCTGCCATTCTGAAACACAAAGTGTGAAGGAACTGATTCTTTCCAAAAAGGACCCATTTGTCGATTTTTCCATCAATGTTACATTAAGTTCACAACAATTAGAGGAGTGTGAGATGTGAGTGACACATTATCCACTGACTGAAACAAACACAAATGTTATGTCAATGTAAGTGTAAGGCAAATATTAACAGGATTCAGTAAAAAAATATATATATATTTAAAAAAAATGTTTCAAAACATATTCAGTCAAAAAAAAAAAAAGATTTTAAAAAATTGTTTCAAAATATAGTTTCATGGCAGAAGCGGTGGTGGGACAACATTTTGATTTTGTGATGGATGGCATTGTCAGCTGTTATCATCCAGTATTGATAAAACTGCATCAAATATCAAGATTGGGATCGATTGTAATTGTTCACTCTTTGGATTGAATTTTGAGACATCAGCATCAAACAATCATAACACGACACCATAAAATGATGTGTTTGATACAGCGGCATGAAATATTGACGTGTGATACATTATATGTAACGTACCGTAATTACGGTATATATTATCTATCGCGACACACAACTGACTTAGTAGTATCAAATATTGCTAATATTATATCGGATAGTTCTCTGTTATGATACAGTGTTAAAACAACAGCATCAACTATTTATATTGTGATATATTTTAATATTCAATAATTTAAATTTGTTCGAATCCATTGTCCATACACCAGCATCCCATATTAACAATGTATCATCATGTTATGGCACCCTGATGATATATCCGCATCACATAACATAACTTCACACCACTGCAAACGACTAGCACAACAATAAATATGTTGTTAAATGAGTACTGTATGGTTGTGACATTCCAAAATGTGCCTTCCTTGAATCGTAATGCACCTCGTGCATTGAGATAAGTATTGAATGGTCTTTTATGAAGGCCGCATAACAAGTATAAATCGGTACAATATTAAATTATGTTGCTAATGATTTGTTGTTTCTTTGAATTTATTTACCTTGAATAATTTGGGATTTGGAGAGCTTTTACGTGTTTTACATATTCATAAAATGGACAAAAGCTATTGCCGGACCATGTCAAGAATCAGAATCAGAATGCCACTTGAGAAACCAATCGAATTATTTTTTTATTGGAAAGATGCACACCCCTCATATGTGGTGTTTTTTTGTAACGTGGATGAATGATGATTTGTATTCATGTTTACTGCTGTCCCAAACTGAGAGACACATTTCTCTTCACTGAAACGAATAAAGAGAATACTCGAACTTCGAATGTGTGACGTGTGCACAGGTATCGGCTGTGGAGGTGAGCTGATTCTGCTGTACGCCCTCATGACCTACATGGTTGTTCTGGCCTGGACTCTGTTCTACCTCTTTTCTTCCTTCAAATCCCCACTGCCATGGAGTACCTGCGACAACTACTGGAACACAGGTGAGGTCTATAGTCTATATATAAATCCATTCATCCATTTTCTAATTCATTTATCCTCACAAGGGCCGCGGGAGGTGCTAGAGCCTATACCAGCTGTCTTTGGGTAGTCGGCAGGGGACACCCTGAACCGGTTGCCAGCCAATCGCAGGGCACATATAGACGAATAACCATCCACCCTCACATTCACACCTAGGGATGGCAATGTGTGGAGGTTTCCGTACTTGTGTTACAAAAACGGCGGCGGTAAGCAAATGTGGCACTCGGCACATCTTCCAAAAGTTGTACATATCACAGCAGCATGTGTAACATCCAGGTGCATTCCTGGTGCCGTATCTGGTATTTGCGGTGTTGTGTGGCGTCCCGCTCTTCCTTTTGGAGACCACCATGGGGCAACA